GGATTTCACATGGGCCAGATGTGGGCCGGATCTGGGCCAACACTATGTTGCTGTCTGGGACATTTATGTCTCTCTTATCTGACACACACAGTTCAGCTCATAGATCTTCTCCTAACCAGTTGATGATATGAATCAAGTGTGTTAGATAAGATGGACATAGAAAATGCAGAGTGGTCCGTCTTCAGGACCAGAATTAAAAAAAAAAACCTCTGCTGTTACTTACCTTAAAACTCAAACAGCCATTCCCGTTAGTGTCAAATGCCTCAAAGAGGTAATGTGCATAAATGCTTGAATCTGGCAGAGAGAACGAAAAAGGAATTGGACAACGCTTTATATACGGTGTATATATATATATATATATATACACATACGTGTGTGTGTGTGTGTGTGTGTGTATAAAATGCAAATGGAATTTATAGATATGCTCTGTGTATTATGTGATTCAGTGACTAAGGGGAAAATAATCATTTTGATTCTAGCGCATAAGGTTGTGTAGATATGAGCACAAATGTGTGATTCCATGTAAACTCAATCAGTGGTCCCCAGCTCAAAGTTTTAATTTTGTCAATATTTTTTTCTTAAGAAAGATAAACATGTATAGTGATGAAAGCCAAAATGTTAAATGTCATAGATGTATTTACTATGTTCTATGCAATTGCCTTGATAGAGGGAAACAAGATATATTTCTACTTTGAGTGTTATTTATTCTTCAGACATTCCCCTTTAAATACCAACATTTGGTTTTCGACCACTGAAAGTGGGTAATATTAAACAATCTCGACATACAGCCACATTGAGATCCTCATATCTCTGGGACTGAACTACAAAGGGCCTTGAAAGTGTAGATAAAAAAAAATTTTTTTTTAAAGTTTATTTAGAATTAGAATCTGAAATCATATTGAATATCTTTAATACATCTTGAGTTACAGACACGCAAACTTTGGAAAAAGAATATTTATGGCATTCAGACAAGTATGTTCTATGCAGTTGTTTTGATGGAAGGAAACAAAATACATTTCTAGTTTCAACATTATTTGTTCTTCAGACATTCCTCTTCAAAAGAAATAAAGTATAATCTATATGCGAAGTTACCCACATTTGGTTTTTGACCACTGAAAATGTGTACAATTTAACAAATTACTCCTGGAGTCATATTGAGATTCCAAAATTGCTGGAATTTAACCATATAGGGCCTTAAAAATGAAGACGCTGAAAGGAAAGTTTGTTAAGACCCAAAATCTGAAAGGGCATTAAGATATCTTTAATACTTCTAGAGTTACAGGCATGCAAACTTGCTTTGTCCCATTTTCGAACAGTCACCACTGGCACATAATGCAACAAAGACATACCAATCTCTGTGTAAAAATAATATAATGATGCTGTCATTTTTATTCTGCACACCACCACATTTAATATTTTGGCTTTCATCACTATACATGTTGATCCTTCTTCAGAAAAAATGATGACAAAATCTAGAGTGTGTTTGTGAGTAGTGGGTGGGATTTTGGACCCTCCTGCCAAGTTTGAGATCTATGTATAGTTTTTGCTTCAAACACATTTGGAGATTTTTTTTATACAAACTAATAAGATAATTCTTACTAAAACTACTGGGTTCCAGCATCTTCAGTGCTTAGACTCCCAAAAATCATAGCCATGGTGGGTCTACACCTTCAGCATGAGGTAAAGATACATACATTGATAATTATCTGAAAATGAATTAACATTATATTATTAACGAAAAAATAATATATATATACTGTCTCACCTCCCTGTGGGAAGAACTGAGAGTAAATGAGTTTAAACACGTCCTCAGTCACCACTCCACTGGGACATTCCTGAAATGCACAACAGATCTTAAATCAAACACTATAAAACACCATTGTGGCCAAAAACCTTCAACGTAATACAATATGCAATTAATTATGTCTTTCAGAAAAAGAAAGAAAGAAATGTAAATTATAATTATGAATTAGAGAAATAAAGTGACAATTATTTGTGGCACACAAAGGGTGATATTCCCAGCTAATGTACTGACTTTCCTCATTTAATCTATGTAAGTAGAGCAACATTTACATTTTTGAAGGCCCTGTAGAGGAACTGCAGCTCTTTCTTGCTGAATTCAGTCTCTTCCTGTAGTATGTCCAGATCATCAGGCCGATGGCAAACAAAGGATATTTCAAACTCATCCTCAGCACTTTCTGTAAGAGAAAAATCTCATTATACATCAATGTTACAGTTCTCATCTGTTTTAGAGAAAGTGTTATGAAGAAATTCATAATTGGTTAATTTCATTAATGCGAGAGGACAGTAGAGAGATGACAAGAAAGCAATAGGTGGAGAGAGGGGATTGGGATCAGCAAAGGACCTCAAGGTGGGAACCAAACTCAGGTCTGCGTGAGCACAGATGTGCTATGTGTAAACACACTAACCACTAGGCTATAGGCGCGGACATAATTGGCTAATTTTAAGGTGAAGTTTATTACAGTGTGGAGCGTAACACTTTAGTGGCAAATCAAACTCACTTTCGAAATATGCAATAAATAAATAAACATTGAAAATATATAAGTACAATAAATGTTTGACTGATTTTCAACAAGCTCAAAATCACACAACTCTGCTTTCTCTGATTAAAAAATAGCTGCAAGCAGCAGTGACGGGCCCAAACACGACACCAGCACCTAGTTGCTTAATCAAAACAATGCATAGTGCGTATGTCACACTGCACATGGCTGCCGATCATGAGCCACAATAGCCACATCAATCAGCCCTTATGAGAAAATATAAAGCACCAGTTCAATCAACATTGAATTAGACATTGCACTTAAAAGATATGAGACTTTCTTTTAAACTATGACCATGGCAACACTGTGCAAGACATCAAAAATCTTAACAGGCGTAGAAGGGCAGTTTTCTAAGCATATTTCATAAATGAATTGCATTCTGAAGCGAAGTTTAAAAAAAAACCTAAATGAGATATTTGAAAAAGAACTCAGATCAAAATTAGAGAACACTTACAGATACCTCCAAAGTTATTGGTGATAATCTGGCACCTGGTGCTAATTTCCTTAATTATATGAAAAACCTTATTTAACTGGCAGCATCCATCCAATTTTCACTGAGATTGCATGATGGCGAGCCGCTCTAAGGTGACTGAAACCCTGGGACAGCAGGTCGTCCAAATGAAGGCCAAAGGGATGACCCTTTCAGCCACTGCAAGTTGGTTGGTCGTTCCAATCTGTGATTTCTCTGTGATCTGAATCTGTGAATATTGCAGGTTCAAGTCCCCCAAAAAGGCTGGTCATCCATGTAAGACAAAAGCACAAGAAGACAGGACAAGCAGGGGCTCTCAATGGGGAATCGGTTCAGCACTGCAGCTGGAATTGCTTGCCAATTCAGTGCTAAAACGGGTAAGGATCTGTCTCAGCATGTTTAAGAGAATTTGGACTGAAAGCACACTCTGCAGTGACAAAGCCTCTCATCAGCAGAAGGAATCAAAAGGCTAGACTTTTGCTGAGGAGCATGTTGTGTGGAGAGAGGAGAACTAGTTTAAAGTTCACTTTAATGATGAGAGCAGGTTTAGTTTATTTGGGTCTGATGGGAAACATTATGTTTGGCGTCAAACTGGGGAATGACTGAAGACTGAATCCCAAGTGTGTAAAGAAGTCAGTGAAAGATGGAGGAGGAAGTGTTATGGTTTGGGCAATGTTTTCTGCAGCAGGAGTTGGGCCTCTTATACAGCTACATGGCAGAGTGAATGCAAATGTTTATCAGAACCTCATTCAGCAACATGCAGTTCCTTCCCTGCATTCATCGCCCAATCAGCCTGCAATTTTCATGCAAGACAATGCCCCTGTCACACTGCAAAACAGGTAAAGCAGTTCCTTGAACATTGAACACTGAAATGGCCGGCCCAGAGTTCTGATCTAAACCCCATTAAAATCTCTGGAAAATACTTTATAACCGTTACCTTACTCTAAAAAAAGTGTTGGTTATAAATCTGTTTTATAGGGAGGGAACCCCTAACTAGATTTGATCTAAGGCACAACAGAAGACATCAATAAGGCAAACTAGCTCTACTGTGTATATATAGCAGGCAATGACCAAAACCTGTCAAATCTATATATAAAACAATAAATAAATGCTTCTCATTCATTTACCTCTTTTTATCTTTCCAAACCCCTTAATACAACAAACATGCATATTTCGACAACATAAACTCAGGACAGCATACAAGTCAAAATCTTATCTGTTCTGATGTGATGACGAAAATGATACAGTTGCTGAATGTTCATTCCACACAGTGTAGAAATCAATGTCCATGAAATCCAATGTCCAAGAATACCATCCAAAAATGTCCCCAGTGCAACACGTAATCCATGGTGTAGATATCACTCCAAACACTGAACAAGTCTTTAAAGTCACATTTGTGGCATAACCCGGTTCAAGAATCCACAACAGTTGCCAACCTAATTCACAGCCTCAAAACCCACTTTAAAGTCATCCTTATGATGCAGGTCAAAAACAGGCATATGAATATAAGGATAAATCCCACAGAATGTGGAGTCCTTCTAAATAAAATGAAATAAATCACATTAGAAAAATAACTACACAAATTACCCAAAAGCATTCAATCAATACAAAACAAGAAACAATGCTTACTTCAGATTGAGCATAAAACTCAAGGTTTCTCAATCAGGACAAGTGATTATTTGGAGCCATAAGCCATGCTTACTTCCCTCCATTACGAATCTGACTTCTTCTACTCCCTACACCCATTTTATATCTAAGAGTATAGCTCCATGTTGCCCCCTCATGGTGGGTAGTACAATTACAATATAAAAAACATGCTAACAGGTTTGTGACTGTTACAACTTGGTGACAAAGTTATGGCTAAGAAACCCACTACAGTCACTGAACTGTGGAAGAGACTGAAAGAAGAGTGGACCAAGATCACACCAGTGCAGTGAGAGAAACTAGTGATGTACTGCAGCCGCAGATGTGCTGAAGTCCTTCAAAGCAAGGGCCTCTACACTTCCTACTGATTTCTGACAGCTATAACCCTGCAAAATTTTAGTTGTAATCATCTCGCTACAGTGGTTACTGTTCTTTAATCAATCAAATTTTCGTTGAAATGCCTTGGATACTCTGTCAAACATGTTAGTAGAACCGTGGTATACCTACAGCTAATATTACTTCAAATTTTGAGCGATAAAAATGAACAGTTTTAAGTTTTTATAGATTGTTCTCTCATTTTGATCTCCACTGTGTGTGTTTGGTGACTAGGTAGTCAAAATATAGCACATATATCTTAACTTTTGCCAAAGACTGAAAGCCGACAATGATGTGTGTGCTGAATTTCATGAAATTGTAAGCATGATAAGAGCCTTAACAACATAGTGTTACAGTTAGATTTGTTACTGTGGCAACACCATTCAAAATATCAAACAATTTGCTTACAGTTTTGACATAATTCTGACCAAGTCTGAAACGATTGAGGTAAATAGAAGAGATTTCAAAGTGCGTTCACTTCCTGTTTTCCTTTTTCCTCGCTGCAGTCAAGCTTTCAGCATGCGGGCTCTAATAGATACATTTTCATCCTTCGACTTGATTGTTTTGTTGGTATTATATCACACATCCTGTGCATAGTGCAGAATGTTACAGTGCAAAATAAACACTGGAATATTTTCCCAGTTTGCTTTGTAAACTTTTTCCTTCATTTCCTGATACACTGGCTGGTACCAAAGAGTCTGAGTGGAAACTCTCTCTGTCCTATAAAGATAAAGGTTAGCTCTGTCGCTCTACTCTTACCTGAAGAGGAGTGAAAATACTCCTGCCTAACCAAAGGCTGCATAGAGTGTGTAGCCAATCCAGCCACTCACCGTCTGTAAAGCACCAGTAGTACAGTGGGAAGAGGGACACCAGCAGCAAGATGTAGAGTCCACCTGTTTCATCGCCGGGCATGAGCTGTTTAAAGCCTCTGCACTCCTGTGACTGTGACATGCTGCTGAACATGATGCTGTGTGTGTGTGTGTGTTCCCTTCCAAAAACACTCCCACCCACACGCTCTGATGTCTTTCCATTACTCTTTCATGTCACTTCATGACGGTTTCCAGCCCAACAAAAGCCTGCATAAGTAATTAATCGGCTTGTTTTGGAATGGCTTGTTTTCACAGTCACAATGGGTGGGAAAGTACAATTTCCATGTTGGCAGTTGTATTATTGGCTCTTGTTTCCATTCTGTTTATATGTAAACACTGCCTAGTGTCACTGAGAAATCCTCAAAATCAGCAGCCATCCCAGCATGCAACTGAATTATCTGTTCATCTGTTTTATTTTATTTTTTACAGGAAAATACATTAAACTTTTTTTTAAGAAAAGAATCCAGTAACAGGTCTTTTATGGCAGGTCTCATCTGCCCTGCCATAAAATATGAGTTCCACTTGTATATGCCCCTTATTATGGGTCAACTGAAATTGGTTTGTTGTCTCAAGTAAATAATAAATTAGAATATATATACAAAATTAATGCACTTTGTAATTGTCTGTCAATGTGTAAATTTGTCACTGTCATTGTAAATGTCTGTAAAAAAGCAATCAAATAGAATGATGAAGACAAAAGTTACACCAACTATTACCAACCACTGAAACAATGTAAAGTCAGTGTTGATGCATCAATGATACAAAATCAATGGTTGTCATTATACTGTGGTGTTATCACTGTTGTTGAATAAATATTGCAAAGAATCAAGTGTAATGTGTTTCAACATTATGTTAATCAGTAGTGTTCATATTAAATCAATGTTGATCTTGCTGATTAAGGTCCTCAGGATCGGTGGCAGCTTCCAGACAGGTGTGTTGGAGTCAGCAGGTGTTTAGTGGTTTGGTTAGTTGACTGTATTTGATCATTTTGTTGTATGTAATGGTGGACTGCAGCATGTAATTGTGGTGTGAACGTCGAAGTGGTGCAGAAATTGGAGGTTTCATGACCTTATAACAAAATCACCAGCTGTTTTTCAGCACGTGCTTCTGTATTTTTATTTTTTATTGCCCTGTTTGTGTTTGTTCTGATCACACTCACCTGCCTCACAGGCCTCATTTTGTGTAAAAGGGCACAGACGTTAATCTAAAGACGCTGTAGATAAAGTGACTGTCACTGCATTCAAGGTTTATATTTCATATGTTGTTGCTTTCCCGGGGAATCAAACCCATGACCTTGGCATTTCTAGCTCCACGCTCTACTGTTTGAGCTACAGGACGGTTGTATATCGATATAATTAGAATTACTAAATAAATGACTGAAATTCAAAATACTGAAAATAAAAATGTGTGAAACCCCACTACAGTGCACACATTTCACAGCACAAATCATTCACTCTTGAGCAGATATACTGACTTTCACCCATTCATATCAGAACAGAATGATTAATCGTGCAGAAGATCAGCATAATAAATGTCTTACTATATATTCACAAAACCCACTTCAAGACGACAGTATTCACATGAGAACTGTTCAGTGTTTTTAATTATTTTTGATCAGGTTACATTTCACCTGCAGCTGATTTGTCCATAAGGATGAGGATGTGGAAAATGCAGGTTGTATTTGCTGAACAGAGGAAAATAGTGTATAATAAAAGTGGTGTCTTTCAATGCGAACATCACCATTTTATGCGACCATTTTAAGTTGAGATGAAGTGAGAGATTGCTGCCGGACACCTACTGTAAATCACTATTCGAATTTTCATTACTGAGCCAGAAACTCACTGTACTTACCCCAGTTTACTAGCACTGTACAACTAGTTCATTTGACTTTGTGCTCATGAGAAAAAGTATTGAACCTGATTCAGAAGCTCTGTTTCCAACACAATTCATTTCCTTTCACTAACCTTGAAAGAACACCGTATGCAAAATATCTGTGATACAAAACACAGGCCACAATTTAAAAAATTTGCAGTGAAAAAAATCTTGATATACAAATATAAAGTACAATCTAAAGACCTAATTTCTATGCAATTGTTTTCTGGAATAAAAAAGACAAAAAGAGTGACCATCACTGTAACATATGAACAGTAACATCCAGAAAACAACTACAACACAGAAGGGACAAACAAGTAGATGGTCCTGCAACCGTCATGAGGAGGTTAACTAGTGGTGTTGGTGGATTAGTGTTGACTGTCAGTCTTTGTTCTCCTCTCTGAGGACTTAAGCCAGACTCCGCTGACGGGGTTTAATTCTTGGGTACAACTGAGGAAGAACAAAAACAACTATTATAATACACACACACACACATGCACAGTGAACACAGTCTTTTCAGTCTTTGGCACATTAGCTGCTTCAGAAAAACCTTTGATTTAAGACACTATCTCCCGGTTTCACAGACAAGGCATAAACCTAGTCTGAGCTTAAAGTGTAAATCTGAGCTGTTTTAACTGAAAGAAACTTGCACTGACTGATCTTAAAATATATCGGTGCCTTTGTTTTGTCTCAAGATGCACACCAGTAATGTTTTTTCTAAGGCATGTTAATAAAAATTACTTAAATGTCCTAAATGAACTGTGGCTTAGTTTAAGCCCTGTCTGTGAAACCGGGCCTACGTCTTTTGCTTTAGTACATCAGTTGGAAAAACCCATTTTAGATTGGCAAACATTGCATGCATATTTTGAAAGACAGGCTTAAGCGATATTAAAGTCAGTGAAGTAAACCACAGATTTTTACTAGTGCTGTAAAATTAAAAAATTGAATTGAAGTAGAAATTATCAAACACTAAATTCTAAATTAAATATAGATGAATCCTTAAAGCTACTGAAGTTATTGATTTCCTCTTTTGTTCTTTGATGAACAGACATCACAGCAGCTGGTTATTAGGTTATTTGGCTGCTATTACTTTAAGAGCTGCCGCTGCCGAGCGTGATGCAGATCTGACACGCATGGTATTTTCTCACAGCGTGTGCCGCTGTATTTGTGCAAGAGCACAGTATAACGGCTGACAGGAAAACTGGTTTTTACTGACATTTGTGACCTTGGAGCACAAAACCAGTTTTAAGTCGCTGGGGTATATTTGTAGCATTAGCCAAAAATACATTGTATGGGTCAAAATTATTGATTTTTCTTTTATGCCAAAAATCATTAGGATAGTAAGTAAAGATCATGTTCCATGAAGATATTTTGTAGATTTCCTACCATAAAATATATAAAAACTTAATTTTTGATTAGTAATATGCATTGCTAAGAACTTCATTTGGACAACTTTAAAGATCACTGTTCACGAGGCACGAAATATAGGAAGAAAATCCAAACACTGAATTTTATATGAATGTGTTTCTGAGGGGAACTGGCTGTTTTCAGAAATGGCGTTTTGCTATTACTTGTAATTTGTTCATTTGTTGGCTGTCACTTGTCTTTAATAATGTTTAAACTTTATATTTATGTTTATTTTTGGCTAGTGACTTTTGCTGTGGTATCGAAATTGAAAGAGAATTGTAAAATATAATCGGTATCTAAAATATCGGTGTCATATAAGCTTATTTATTAGAATACAAGATAACAGATCAAAAACAATGATAACAGCAGCTATTTTATTTTTTGTGGCAGGGCACGTAAAAATGTGAACGAAAAAATCCTTAGCGTTGATCCCTGTAGAGTAAAAACCACGACAGGCTAAATCTTTCAGGTTTTATTGTAGGCCTGTATGCAGTGTGAACAGGGCAATAACTGGTGTGAATCACTCACCCCAAGCAGGTTTCGGGGGACGTACCCCTCTCGGCCGGCGGAGCGCACCCACCACCACTCGGTCTCGTCCTCGTCCTCCCGCCGCAGCACCGTCATGCAGTCGTCCTCTCTGAAGGCCAGCTCGTCGTCCTGCTCGCTCTCGTAGTCCCACAGGCCACACACCACCCCGCGGTTCATGATGCCCATCTTCTCCTGGACGCCTGCACAGCACGGGAAACACACACAGCTTCTCAGCTTATAGCCCTAGTCAAAAATAAATATACTTAAATGTATCTAAATTACATTTAGGTCATGCTGAGTATACTACAAATACATTTACATATTATGCACTTAATAAAAATATCCTGCAATTGTACTTTTCGTATACTAAACTGCTATACTTAAAGTCTGCTAAATTGGAACATGTACTTAATGCACTTTAATTGTGCTTTAGTCCAACTAAAGATATACTGACGTATATTTGATTGAGCTAAAGTGGAACTATTGCAAGTTTACTTTAAATTTCTTGCATTTAAAGACCGATATTATTCAAAGATCATACAATCCTCATCATTAGTGACATTAAAACACATTTTAGGTTTAATATCAAGAAACGTGCATTGTTCACAAGCAGTACTCCAAGTAAAGTTTAATTATAATTTTTATATCAGTAAGTCTCGAGCGATATGTCAGTAAATATGTTAATAGATTTGAACTATATTTAGTATGAAATAAATGTATTTTAAACATATTACTTTTTTACTTGAGAGGAGTGTTGTGTTTTTCATTTTCATTTTATATATATATTTTTTTTTTTTTTCAGCACCAGGGTCAAAATGTGCATATTCCAGGATCCCATCCATTTTGGGAGCACAAGCAGTGTTTCTTCTTGTTGTTTAAATGTGCTTAGATTTTTCATATTTCTCATATCAATTCTTGATCTTTATAGCAGAAGTGACTCAATCACGATCTCTTTGTTTCATGCCGTTTCATGTGCTCATGCCCCAAATCCCAGGATTAATCTAACAAATAACTGAAAGAAAATGTATAGCGTCAAAGCTGGCTGGATTTGCTTGGTTTTATTGAATCGATCCTGTAATCTCAAGTTTTTGCTAGCATTGTGGTACAGGCCTCTAAAATCATGAGCAATAAGCCTCGACAGTTATTATAGTCATTATTTTTGTTTTCTATATGCACAAAAAGTATTCTCGCAGCTTCATAACATTACGGTTGAACCACTGATGTCACATGGACTGTTTTATCGATGTCCTTACTATGTTTCTGGACCTTAAACGTGTTAGGACCCTT